CCGTTTCTCTCTCTATCTTCTATTCCCAGTAGTAATTAGAGCAAATCGCTATAATTACCATCAATTTCGTTATATTCAATATCATCATTACATTCATCATCACTATCATTACTTCTCCACGCCCGCAGCGGAAATTAGACCGCCCTGTTGCCGAAAATGGGCGTGACATCCGAAGCCCAAGTTACGCCACTAAGAGCTCTCGTCTCTGAATATCTTAATGATTCATGATTATGTAATTAGAGGCTGGCAGGTCAACGGCAGCAATTAACCCGAAGGTATTTAAGGAGAGGTCATTAAAGAGATCTCGAGAGAGCTGTAAATAGACAAGGGTTACGTGTTATAGGCCTACGTGCGGGGGGGGGGGGTCTTTAGGCTCGTAGCCCCGCGCCCGCTCGAGAGAAGACAGGAGTCGCCGTTCATTAAAGATAATTACAGTCTACCCAGGGCTTTAATTGGGATTAATCACCACCAGCTGGCCCAGGGCGTCTTGTCAGTGTCTGCGTGTCGTTATGGCCCAAGATTTGCGTCGTTTTGGCCACGCGTTAAGACCCCAGAAGGACCTTCCTGACGGAGGGATCGGAACTATGGTCGTATCTTCCCGACGGCGCGTGTTTACGTCCGCCGACGCCGAGAAAATAGACAATCAAATTTACGTGTTTCTTTTTATGTACGTCTGGTCTTGGTACTTTTTCTTTTTTGGGGTGGGGGGGGTTAGGGGCGTGATGAGAAAAGGCGTTTCATTTGAGAGAAGTTGTTGCTGACTTGATGTGTTTCAATTGCCATAAAAGCGACTGGCTGAAAATACGTACGTCTGTTCATGCTTGTGTATATGGCGATAACGAATGTCAACTTATGAGACATTTATTTATCAATTTTCATCTTTTTCTCTTCATTCGTATTCATGAATCTGGCTTTTCTCTGTCATTTAATTATGAACAAAGCGGAAACTGCTGCATAATCAGTAAATTGTCCGTTTCCTTACAAATGAAATTCAAAATCCTCTTAATTTCAATTGATATCTTGCCTCCGGTTTCTTCAAACTTTTTTTATTATTACTATTATTTTTTTCAGGATTTATCGTCTCTCAAAAAAAAAAGAAAAAGAAAGAAAAAAAAGGACATTAATACTAAGACGCGATTGCATCACACATGATAGCAGTAATCAATAATATTTTCTGCAACAGCAAACCCGTTTCTCCGCTGTACGCTATTTAAAGCAGGGGAAGGCCAGATCAGTAGCAACTGGAGGAGGTGTCATGGCGCCTGATCGTATTTTTTGGAAAAAGTACATGAATTTTATTTTGATGACGGATTCTCTGTGAATATGGTCGATCATTTTGGTCTCTTCAATTTTCAAAAAGGATAGAAAATAATGATTTTAATGGTTATATTCTCATTGAACAATCATCAAAATAGCCCTGTGGGACACCTCCATGACACCTCCTGGAGCTGCTACTGACCCAGCCTTCCCCATTTAAAACAACTCTTCTCTAAGGATTTGTGGTTAGATAAACATTCATGACAGGCCCAAGAAAAATTACATATCTTCATAGACTTTCTTATGTTTTCCAACTAAGATAATTAATCCCTTTTGTTATCTATAACCAAAATTACAAATTATTTCAGTCACTAAGTAGAATAATGAAATGAAAATAAATATCATGTACGATGTTTAAGATTAGCACTGATATAACATACATACACATATTTATTTAAATACATATTAATATTATGTATGTACAATTTTACATAGTTGAAAATTGTATATATATATATTTTTTTTTAGAAGAAAAATCTATATATATAATTTTTTAAAAGAAATTGAGTCACCAGGTTTTTCTTAGATAAAATCTACATATATTCTTACACATAATGAAATAAAAAATAATAACTACTAAAATATAATTGTTAGGTGAACTTATTATAAACAATACATCATAATAACCATAAGCTACAATAGCTGTAAGAGTAATGGTTATTATTATAAGAATAACTTATACAAATAACTAAAAGGAATAACAGGGATGCAGAAGGTAATTGCAATAATTATTTCGCATTTTCCCAAAACAAATTGCACGAATCCATTATAAGAATATGCATGTAAATGTGTGAATAAAGAAGATGACGATGATTAAAAAATACATGATGATGATGATGATGATGATGATGGATGATGAATGAAAGAAGACAACGATGATGGTGCGTGGTGGTTGATGGTGAATGGATGATGACGATGATATGATGATGATGATGATGATGATGATGAGATGATGATGATGAATATTGATGATGATGATGAATGATGATGATGATGAAGATGATGATGATTGATATATGATGATAATGATGATATAAGCAATGATAAAAGGATAATGATAATGATAATAAAAAGCAATACCGATGCTTAACCACAACACCAATTCCACAAAAACTGATCACCACACACGCCCCCCCCCCCAAAAAAAAAAAAAAAAAAAAAGATAAAAACGCACGAAATATGT